GAGTTTACACTATCCTTCCTTGATTCTAAAGTTATGATTTATTGCAGAGGTACCAGGATGGCTATCAGTTGAGAAGAAAGAACTGATGCGTTTGAGAGGTAAGCAATCAATGTTTTAAAATCCCATTTACCAGTCGATTCGTTTTAAGTATCGTGTCAACTTCGATTGGCAAGTCAACTAGGTCAATTGAAAAGGTTGAGTTTTTAGTATTTTTTTGAATATTTTACTTCTATGTATTGATATTAATTTATTTTACCAATTTTAAGGGTTTGATTTACTGATAAATAAGTATTATCTTGTAAGTTACCTTAAGAATTCAACTCTTAAGGTTAGCACCTAAGGATTGTTTCAAGAACACCCTAACCATAAATTATACTAAAAAATTTATTTTATCTATAATTAATTAGAATATATTTATATTCAGTAATTAAACTTACATTTGTAGTATATTTGTGTTGAGGGGAGGGAAGAGTTTTTTAACTAATTAAACTAATTAAATTATCACGATTTTAAATCATGCAATTTGATTAGTCAAAAAATCCTCCCCTCCCATTTATTCCCCTCAACTCAAATATACTATTAAGTTTAAATAGAATTTATTTCTAGAATTCATCACATTTTCAGATTTCAAATTAATTTCATTATTTAAATTTATTAAAATAACATATATTTTTCTTTTATAATCCATTTAAATCATGGAAGTTGTATTTATTACAAAATTATTTCTCTCTTTATCAATTTTATTTTCAAGGATTTAGTTCTAATTTTAATTTTTTTTTATTTTATTAACTAAGGTTCCGTTAGTATGGTTGTAGTTTAAAATATTTTGTTTTGATTTTTATAAATTTTGCAACTCTAAATAAAAAAACTTGTTACTTTTCATGTATTTTACAATAAATTATTATGATTATTAGAGAAACAAAAGTAAAACCAATTTTAATACTATTAAACAAGCAAATACTTTTAGTTATCATCATTGAAATTTCTTTTAAACAAATTTTTTATTTTTTATTTTTAGTTTTGGTTTTCAATAGACGCAAAATTTATAGAAACCAGAATCAAAAACTTAAAACTACAATCATACTAAACAAAGCCTGAGACTCTATTTAATATGGTTTTGGTTTTAGGTTTTTAGTTTTAATTTTTTTTATACTTACAAATCAATTTTTTTATAAAAAATACAATTTATTTGATTTAATCTAAGTATAGTATTAATTACTAAATATATTAACCCAAAAACTAAAATCATACTAAATGGAACTTAAAGTAGTTATTTCATTTCAAATGATTTTACACTTATAGTATGTTTGGATTGAGAGGAATGGAGAGAAGGGGAGGGGAGGAGAAAAGAATTCTTTATCTGGTTATAAAAAAAATTGGAGGGAATGGGAGTGGAAATTTTTTCTTTTTTTTTTTTCTTTTAACTTAGTTACTTTTCCAAATGAGAAGAAATGAGGAGAAGGGAGGGGAGGGGAATGGTGAGGAATGAAAGGATATAATTCCCCTCCCCTCCTCTCCATTCCCCTCAACCCAAATATAGGGTTAAAGTTGATTACATTCCAAAAAGAGAGAACTAGAATTAGACTGGTCATTCCCTTGATGGATTAATGAAAATCTTGACAAACCAAACCAAAAATCTTACTGATAAAAAAATCTTGTTGAGATCCAGTGGCGGATAAATTGAAAAGGGGACAATTGGGTCAAATCACTCACACTCACAATACTTGAGCAATTCCAAACAGTCCAAAGATAGGAAATTAATTATATAATATATATTAACTAACGATTAATCCCTGCCTTAATGGATTAATATTGGAAATATTGACAAACCAAATAAATCTTATCCTGCCTTACTCATAGGGACATGAGTGCTCTACGATAGAGAACTACAAAGATAGGTCTCATACAAGGATCGTGATCGGGTTCTTAGAACCCAAATCGTGGGTTAAACCCACTGAAAGAACCTAGATCGATGCTTGGGGTTCTCTTCTCTATACGTACACTGAGGAAGGAAGGAAGGGGGGCACGGATGAAGGAGTAGAAAAGGGGAGAAGAAAAAGGAGGGAGATGGAAGGAGGAACCATCAATGGACGTGCGATGGTGGTGGTAAGGCTAGGTTCCTCATGCGACTATAGCGACGAGGCTTGGTTCTTCACACGGTAGTGGTGGCAAGGTTGGGTTCCTCAAATGATGACAGTAGTGAGGCTAGTTTCCTTGCATGGTCTTGTAGCTCAAGGAAGAATCTGAATTTCACAGAATTCAGTTGAAGAAGGAAAGAGAGGGAATAATTAAGAAAGAAATAGATTAGGGTTAAAGAGGAAGGGCTACGGGGGATAAGTTTGGAATTTCAATTTTATAATTTTTAATATAAATGGGTGCTTAAAATTCCATGTCATATTTAATATTTTAAGAAAATTGCCACATCATTATCATCTTTTTTCACTTGGATTTTCATATTATTTACGTAAAAAAAAGAAAGAAAAGAGATGATTTGTCAATTAACCACATCATAACAAACTTAATGGAGGGATCAGAAAAGAGGAAAAAACTAATCTTGAGAGATAAAAAGGAAATTTTATCAGTTAAGGTATTAAGAAGGAGCTCCTTAGGGACGAAGGGGTAATGGGGTGTTTGGTTGGAATTTCCTAAACAGTTTTAATTAGGCTAAATTTAATTTTTCATCTACTAACTATTATTCTCTTATCATTTTAGTCTAAAAAGTTTAGTTTCTTTCAAATTCATCTATAAACTTTGAAAATCATATCAGATTCATCTATTTAATAAACTTTTGTCAGTTTTTTATTAATGGAATCCAATGTCAATGCTTATGTGGTACTAGTCAGCACTTACAGGGCATATGCAAGTTTCAAAAACTATACTTTAACCTCAAAAACTTTACAAAATTTTCAATTAAGTTTTATATTCAAGTCACTCCACAATACAATTTAGTCAACTAAGTCCTTAAATGGACTAAATTATAATAAACGAAAACTAATGATAAATAATTAA